GCTTTTTAGTACCCTTTCTTGTTAGAGGCAAGCTGATAGTACAATCCTTGTGGAGTCTAGACAAAGTTGAGTGGGATGAAGAAATATCGAATTCCGAACTTCGAGCTAGCTGGACTCAATGGGAACAAGAACTAATATTCATTAGCCAAGTTAGCCTACCAAGACATTATATCAAATTGAAGGATGCCACATACCAGTTACACGTGTTCTGTGATTCATCCGAAAAAGCCTATGGAGCAGTCAGCTATCTTCGTGGAGAGCGTGATGGTAAGGTAGAGACGGCATTTGTGATTGCAAAATCCAAGGTTGCCCCACGAAAGCAATTAAGCATGCCAAGATTAGAGCTATGTGCTGCACTGATTGGAGCAAAACTTATCGACTTTCTTGTAAACACCTTGACAATTCCTGTAAGCGGAAAGCATCTATGGAGCGACTCAACTACAGTACTTACATGGATCACATCAGAAACCTGTAGGTTCAAGGTTTTCGTTGGAACTAGAGTTGCAGAGATTTTGCACTTAACTGATGGGATGGACTGGCACTATGTGCCTACAGCAGAGAATGTGGCAGATGATATCACTAGAGGCATGTCCTTACGAGATATTGCCAGCAACCAAAGATGGCAGTATGGCCCATCTTTCCTAACTCAAGCTAGAGAGCATTGGCCAGTGATGCCCAATCTCCAAGATTGCCCTAAATGTGATGCTGAAATCAAGAAAAGTGTTTTCAGTGGGTTAGTCGGTATCAATGTTGCAGATAGTGAGATAGACGAGTTAAAGAACTTTGAAAAACTTATACTCTACCTTGGTCAGAGGTTTAATGGGGCGGCCCCTCAACAACTAGAGAACGAAGCCTGGAAAATGGTACAACTATGCTGTTTCCCAGAAGAGGTTAGAGCCTTAAAGGCTGGATCCCCATTACCTACAGGAAGTCGTCTGAAGCAATTGAGTCCAGAATGGGACAAGGATACTGGTCTTCTGAGAGTAGGCGGAAGATTGCGAGAAGCAAATGCCATTCAGGAGCAAATGAAACACCCAATAATTCTTGATCCTAAACACCATATAACAAAAATACTTGTTCGACATACTGATGTTAAGTTGCTTCACCCCGGACCAGAACGAGTTTTGGCAGAGTTGAGAAGGAGATACTGGATTCTCAGAGGCAGAGAAGTTGTCAAAGGACAACAGAGGCAGTGTCAAGAGTGTCAACGTTGGAGTGCAAATCCATCCAATCCCCAGATGAGAGACCTGCCGGCCGCACGGCTACAACTATTTAAACCAGTTTTCCATTGCACTGGAATTGATTGTTTCGGGCCTATGCACATAAAGGTTGGAAGGAGAACGGAGAAGAGGTGGGGAATAGTCTACAAGTGCATGACTGTTGGTGCCGTCCAATTGGAGCTATTGGACAGCATGGACACAGATGCCTTTCTGTTATCCCTACGTAGGTTTATTTCCCGGAGAGGCCAACCGGCTAAGATATATAGTGATTGTGGTACCAATTTTAAAAGTGGGGATAAGAGCCGCCTTCGATCTGATGACTGCTAATCTTCGAGAAGAACTTCGGCCATACATGGTGGAGTTCCATTTCAATCCCCCAAACGCTCCACATTTCGGAGGACTGTGGGAGAGAGCAGTTAGAAGTG